GGACTTAATACAACTCAACACCGAAAAAACAAGTAATACAGTTAAAGAATGGGCAGAAGACAAGAACGGACATTTCTCCAAAGAAGATATCCAGATGGCCAAAAGAAACTTGAAAACATGCTCAACGTAACTCATTATCAAATGTACATCAGAACTACTTTGAGATATCAACTCACACCGGCCATAATGACTAAAATCAAAAACAAAAATAACTTATGTTGGCAATAATATGTAGAAAAAGGAACCCTTGTGCACTGTTGGTGAGAAAGCAAACTGGTGCAGCCACTGCAGAAAACTATATTGTATACCTGAATCTAATATAACACTGTATGTTAACTATATTGGAATTTTAAAAAAGCTAACAGGAAATAAAATACATTAATAAACATTTATTAATTAAGAGAAAAGATTAGATGGAATGAATTGAAACAAGTTCTACACTAAACTCACTTGCCATATAATTTCCTTCAGATTGATTTCCATTTATTCAGTTTACATACCTTTTGTTGGAGTTTGAGTAGGCCAGTTAAATACACCATCTATTCCTTCTTCCAACTTCTGAACCCTTTGAGAAGTAGACATAGCTCAGAATAAAAAATATCAACTTTATCTTTGGAGAAACTGGGTAAAAGAGTGTGCTTAGATCTCTGTGGAGTCTTCCTGCATATTCAAATTGGATTGACTTGACTTGCCCTGTTGAGTTTGCTATACGAATGAGAAGAGAATATATGTAGTTTTGGGCTGGTAAGGTCTAAGAGAGAGTGAGAGATTAGTGACATATGTGGCCCATCTTTTACCCCATCTCACCAAACAGATAAAGCAGAAAGAGAACGAGTGGTGTTTTGTCACCTGTCATCCTGGGCAAAGCCCTACTCTTAATCATGTTCTTTTTTCCAAGGAGTCAGACCTGTCTTATTCTCATGGAACCCACAGTTCCACTACTGGTCTACTTCCAGTTCCTCATGTCATCTGGACCCTCTGCTCTATTTTGAACAAAGTTTTATAACTTTGATCTTTCCCTAGAACTCTTTTTCCCCATTCTCCCTAGAAATTTAAACTTGGCTTTTGTGGACAGTCCCCCATTTGTTTTATTTTTTTTTTGTTTGTTTTTGGGGTTTTTTTTGCATGGCCATCTGAAGAAAATGTATTGAATTTTTCTAATTCTAGATATTTAATATACAGTGTTAAATTAATTCCAGGTGTACAATATGATCCAGCACTTCCATTCATTACTCAGTATTCATCAAGATATGTCTGCTCTTAATCCACTTTATTTCACCACTCATTCCTCCACCCACCTCCCATCTGGTAACTATCAGTTCTCTATATTTTAGAGTCTGGTTTTTTGTTTTTTTGTTTTGTTTTATTTGCTTGTCTCATATTTCCTTCTGTTTTCCTTTCCTTTCCATTCCATTCCGTTCCGTTCCGTTCCCTTTCCCTTCCCTTTCCCTCCCTTTCCTTTCCCTCCCTTTCCCTTTCTTTTCCTTTCCCTCTTCTCCATTTCCCTTTTCTCCACACCCAGCATGCAGCCCAACACTGGGCTTGAACTTACGACCCTGAGATCAAGACCTGAGCAGAGACCAAGAGTCACATACTTAAATGACTGAGCCACCCAGGCACCCCAACTTGTCTCCTTTTTTTCTGTTTGTTTTGTTTTTAAATTCTACCTGTGAGTGAAATCATGTGGTATTTGTCTTTTTCTCTTTGGCTTATTTCACTTAGCAATAACATCTAGATTCATCCAATGGCAACATTTAATTTTTTATGCCTGAGTAATATACCTGTGTGTGTGTGTGTTTGTGTGTAGTACATCATCTTTATCCATTCACCTATCGATAGATCTAAATTTATTTTTTAAAAATTTTTAAGATTTTATTTATTTATGAAAGAGTGAGAAAGCGAGCATGAGTGGGGTGAGGGGCAGAGGGAGAGGGAGAAGCAGATTCCCTGCTGAGCAGGGAGCCCAACATGGGGCTCGATTGCAGGACCCTGGAATCACTACCTGAGCTGAAGGCAGACGCTTAACTGACTGAGTGACTCAGGTGCCCCTCAATGGATCTAATTTTAGATTTAAAGGACAGTTGATGCGTTCCTTTGCTGTCCACTGTCAATTCAGTGTGCCACCTTTGTGCATCAGTTCCTTCTCTCTTAACACTGCCACCTCCCCTTTCTAAGTCTTGGTATTGGTTGATCTAGAGGACATTGCTCCAACTTCCTCAATTATGTCGGCATCAGACCTGGAACTGTCCTCCCCACCCCATACTATGTGATTTATAATCTGTTCTTAATTCATGTTTTTGAATTTCTGATACTCAGAACTCATTATTTTTTAACTTGCTCAGCTCTGTCAACCAGAAGCTTTCATAGATCTCAAATACTGAAAGCTCTCTCTTTTCCTTACTCCTCTGGCAATTTTTTTTTCTCTCTTAAATTCTTAAATTCTAGTATTCCTTTATTCATATACTGTCTCTGTTTTTATCCTTCCTCCCCTCCCTCTTTCAACCTCTCTATGTTAATAGATGGTCTTGCCATTGGATCTTAACTACCTCAACTTTACCCCCTTATACACAACAATTTTTCTTTATATTTATCACCCATCCTTTCCTTCCTTTCTAATCATAGGGAAGAAACTGTCTTCTCTCTTTAACATGGCTAACTCTACCAGAGTTTTATTCCCTTTTTCTCTTGTATTTGCCACTCTCCCTCTTCATGCCCTTCTTCTACTAACATTAAAAATGGAAAACAAAACAAAACAGTAACAACAGCAAAAATCCTTTTTTTTTTAAGATTTTATTTATTTATTTAACAGAGAGAGAGAGAGAGAGATCACAAATAGGCAGAGAGAGAAGGGGAAGCAGGCTCCCTGCTGAGCAGAGAGCCCGATGTGGGGTTAGATTTCAGGACCCTGGGATCATGACCTGAACCAAAGGCAGAGGCTTAATCCACTGAGCCACACAAGTGCCCCAGTAAACATCCTTGTTAAAGATTTCACCTTCACTTCAAACTATGCCAGCCTTCTTAAAAGAATAAAATTTGCTAGTTAATTTCACTTCTCCTTTCTCTTCAGTCCTTACTGGAAGTTTTTGCTTTCTTCTGTTGCCTTCCTGAAATTTCTTTCTAAGGTCATCAGTGACTGTTAAGTGCTTAATTTTCCTTCTGCCCTTAAAAGGTAGGACAGGGCTCTCCCTCCTTTTTCTCTTCTTCCTTGACTTCAATGATGGACATCCATCTTTTGTGGAAACCCCCTTCTCAAATAAATACACCTTTTAGGGGATAGGCAAACTTGCTGTAGCAGGAGAGACCTCACAGATGATTCTGAAGTGGTGCCTCCTTTGAGGCAATGAGTTTAAGGTTTTTACTGATTATAGGTTGAGCTCTGAAGTTTTAGGGTCAGATATTAGAAGTGGGGCAAGTCTTTGGATTGGTTGATTTTTTTTAAGGTAATAGTTGATACATACAACGTATGGTTGTGATTGGCCCCTGTTGAGGGCCAAGACACTGTGCATTTGTAACTATAACTGAATGGTGTTAGTTGTTCCAGTTCTCAGTCATGCATAAGTGATGGAGTGGTTATTCTGGTTTTCATTTTCAAGCACATCTTCAGTGAATTTTTAACTTTTTATTTCCATTACAATTGCCCTGGTTTCTTATTTTGACTATGGCAGTAGCAAAACAGGTCTCACTGCCTTGGGGATCTTTTCATAGTAACTCATATTCCAAAACTAGAGCCATCATTCCAAAAATACAAATTCAAACATGTTTCCTACTGAAAAACCACTGATGGTTCCTTTTATGTCTAAAATAAAAGCTCATATACTGAATGCAGTGTTCAGCCCCTTTTACAATATGACCTGAACTCCGAATTCTAGTCCTTATCTATCTGTTGGCCTATCGGTCCCTATCTTTTCCTCCCTCTCTCCTCTCCTCCACCTCCATTCTCACTTTTGTCTTCCTTGTCCCCAAGCTATACTCATATTATGGAAGTGTAGTGATTTATTTCACACTGTACCTGTTGGCCCATTTGCCTAAAATAATTTTTGTTTCTTAGAATGTTGTTTCCAGCCCTTACCTTTATCTGATTATTACCTTTACAGAGTATGTTAGGCAAAACAAAAAACTACAGACTGCGTGACTCAACAGAAATTTATTTGCTGTTTTAGAAACTAGACATCCAAGATCAAGGTGTCCACAGGTTTGATTTCTTCCGAGGCTTTTCTCTTGGCTTGTAGATGAGCATCTTCTTGACGTGTCCTCACATGGTCTTTCTGCTGTGTGTGCACATCGTTGGTGCCTCTCTGTGTGTCCTAATCTCTTCTTATAAGACACCATTCAGATGGTATTAGGACCCACTTTAACAGCCTGATTTTAACTTAATTACCTTCCTAAGAGCCCTGTCTTCAAATAAGTCAAGTTCTGTGGTACTGGAGATTAAGGAGTTACTACATGAACTTCCGAGTTGCAATTCAGTCCGTAATACAACCTTGCCACATATTCCCTGTAGTAATTAACCTTCTCCACAATCCCATATACCTTGTACCACTTGCACACTTATTATTATCTGCCTTGATATGGAGTTTTTCATGTTTGTCTCCTTCTGTAGTGTGTGTGGGTTTCTTGAGGACAGAAACTGTCTCTTACGCAACTTCATCTTTCCCTGCTCTCCATGATATTAGAACTGAAGAGGGTTTGATTATTGGCTAAATGAAAGAATTCAGTGTGAATCAGGCTTGAATATCTAATAATATATTTTTCAGAATTTTGAGGAGATTGACATAAAAATATATGAAAGGAATATATTATATCTCCTATTTTAGAAGTCTTTGGGCATAGCTTGAGATTTTTGTCTTACATTCTTAAATTATACATAGTCTAAGTAATGTCAGTTTTATAGGACTTTATATAACTCTTTAATGGTCTTTAAGGTGTAATCATATAATAGGCTTCTATAAGCTACCTGTCAATTCTTTCAATTTCATTACTTCCATTACTTTTTTTTTCAGATAAAGATGAATGCTGTGTTTCATCCAGTACTGAAAATTTGAAGTTTTGAAGATACTTGCTAAGTCAGATCACTTCAAGTAAGTCTGCTCGTGTCCATTTTAATGCAAACTTAAGATTGATTTAACATGTAAAGAATTGAGTCTAGTACCTTTGACACTTTTTCAACTCTCAAATTTCTCAGAATATCTTGGAGTCACATTATATATTGCATCATTGGTCTTGGAAAATAGTAGAAAGATGATTTCTTAGTAAGTTTCATATGCTTATTAAAAATGTAATGTTTATACTCTTGGTATTATTTTTAAAATGTGATTAACACCTCAGAATCCTCCTTTATTTTGCAGTAAGTGTAGTCATCAGGTCCTGATGATATGCCAAACTTAATATTTTTAAAGGTGGTTTTTCCATTATAGCTAATATTATGTTTTTCAGTTTTTTGAGGCTTTGTATGGCTTTTCTAAATGATGTATATGTTTGTGATTATTGGAGGGAAATACTTAGTAATGAACCAGTACTTGAATCTTTAATCAAAAACTTAGCTTTGAAAGGTCGTCTTAACTACCTTCAACTAATATAATTACCTCTAATAGTCTTCTGTCTCCATTTACTCTTCCTCTTTCCTGTATTCCACTGCTAGATAGATTGGCATATAGAACTCTAATACTTTTAAAATACTTTAATGGCTCCCCACTCACCACTGGATAAATTCCATGTTTCATTGCCTGGTATTCAAAGCCCTCTACCCAGTTCCTAAAAATATGCTTCATCTTAGCCAACTGGACTCTTTTCCTCTTCTCTGAATTCTCATCATTTTTTATGCCTCTGTGGCTTGATGTGTTCTGTATTTCTTGTTTTTTTCTGTGATGTTCTCTTCTTTGCCCTCACTGTGCTTGTTGAAATCTTGTGCAAACCCTGAAGGCTCAGCCCAAGTGCACGCTCATCTGTGGAGCTTTCCCTGATTGCTCCAGCTAAACCACTAGCTCTGTCTGCTGACTTTATCCAGCATTTTGTTTTTATCACTATCATAGCGCATTTTATCAGGCAGCTGTATTATTTGTGTTTACTTATCTCACATCTTAGGTTGTAAGGACTATAGAATCAAACTTCTTGTCTGAGTAATTTTGGTCTCTCCCAGCATTCAGCATAGCCTCAATAGTGCTCAGTAAATACTTGCTTAATAAATTAGTAATGTGCCTGGATTTTTTTTTTCATCATCCTTTCTGTCTTTCATCCTTATAGTCACATATGGTCCATATTCATGCAACTTTTCATTCCTGGTACACACTTCTGGTAAGCCTCCACGCTGCCATTTTATCCTAAGAAAATACTAACCATAGTGTAATTAACAAGATGCAGTCAGTTCTTAATCTGTGCAATAAACTGGATTCCAGAAGTTCATATCTAATTCTGTTGTTTGGAATGCAGAAGACATTTTCCTACAAAAACAATGTTATAAATAGTGGTTCGGTTCTCAGCAAGTCCTCCCAAGACTATTTAACTCGTAAGTACCAGTGCTACTTGAACTACAGGAAGTCATCATGCATGACACCGTTTTGTAGAGAAATTGTAGCTCTGAGAGTGAAATCACATCTCCTTTGCCCTAGAAGCAGAACAATACCTTTCTGGCCAGCTGGAGCAATAGGAAAGCCTGAGTTGGACCTCTGGCAGTGGTTGGCATATTGGATGCTCTTAGGCCAGTTGTTTTTGGTTTTCAGTATTTGCATAAGAGACATTTACTGTAGGTTACTGGTACTATCATGTCTTCTAAATTGAGGGCAAGGGAACACTTGCTCTTGTGGTCCTCTTGCAGTAGATAAGGATAGTCATCAGCTATCCTGATTCTATCCTGAGTCTTCAACTGTTTTATCACATGGGTGGGTCAGTCTAAGTCGGGTATTGGCAGATTAGAACTGTTTTACTCCTTCTTCCTTTCCTGTGGACTTATGAGAATTAAATATATAAATATGGAAAATACTTCTGTCTATAGGAGGAACATGTTTATTAGGGATCAACCAACCCTGTGTTTCCCATCATATCAGGTTTTATGGACAAGAGATTCTCATTTCTGCATGGGAATACTGATGCTACTCATGAAAAGCTCATCAGTGTGTGCATAAACAATCCTGAAGGTTGATAACTTATGTTGTCAGGCTATAAGAATACACATCATAAATTTTAGAGACTTTAATTTGCTTAGTCATCATAAGCTTTGAGCACATGAGTGAATGTCTGCTTTATGTTTAATGCTTTCATAGGTGCAAGGGGCTAGGGAATGAGAACCAAAGATATCATGAAAAGTTTACTTTCCCTCCAGGAGCCAGGAATACAGGGAGTGAAGTATGGAAAAAAAAAAAAAAAAGCACTCACAGTACAAACAGTGTGTTATTAATTGCCATAAAGTACTTCATTAAGGTAACAAACACTCTTGGGGTTATCAGAATGGCAATATTATTATGATTCACAACGGTTGTAAAGATGGTGGTGGGAATTCAGTTAATCTTAGAGGAATGGTAAAGATTTAAATTTAAATAAAGAGCTAGGAGAGGAACTGACATTCCAGGTTGGATTAACAGCATGAATGGAGAACTAGAGATACAAACAAACAAATCAGCATTACTGGCTGGAACAGAAGGTTCCTTCATGTTGGGTGAAATAATAGGTGGTAAAATTACACCAGTGGTTCAACACTGGCAGTGAATAAAAGTCACCTAGAGATATTTTTAAAAATACAGGTCCCTGGATCTTACCCCAGAACTAATAAATAGAATTTCTGGGACACAAGATGGTAACCTGTTTATCTTTCAAAGTTCCCCTAGCGGTTGAGAACCACTCCATTAGAAGGATGGGCCAAGTTTAGTAGAGCCATGAATGCCTTGCTGAGGAGTTGGGCCTTTGTGTGTCAAGCAGTGGGAAGCCCTCAGAGGTTTCTGAGCCCGGTGACATGATGGAATTCGAGTTTGCCAAGATAAATGATTCACCAACTGCATGTGAATGGAAAAGAAATAAGAAACAGCTTGAATTAGAGCAGTAGTGGCAGGGAAAACAGAGAAGGTCACATTTTTAAGGGTACTTAGATGAGTGGGAGTTGGCTATGTCAGCCTTGACCTCGGCATGATTTGTTTTATAAACTGATTATACAACTTCACCCTCATTAATTTGATCTCTTCTCTCTTACAACCTGGCAACTTAAGCAGTAATTTCAGCCAGTTTGCATTTAATGGAAGGAGACCATTGTCTACTCATGTACACATCTAACTCATAATAGTAAGTGAAGTTATGTGGATGAGGAATATGACCTTTAACATAATCATTATAAAGCATTTAATAACCACCCACGTATGCAATAACACAACCCCAGTTCTGCAGGATTGTGCCAAGAGCTGAAGTCACAAATATAAGACAGCTATTGGCACATAATTCCCTAGCATTAAGTTGAAATTTGAAGAAACATTCTAAACCATGTTATGCATTTTAATATTTTTAGCATCAGATTTGCTAATTGCTTAATTTTTGTGGTAGTAGGTAGGCCTGTGAATACCTCCTGACCTTAGCAGCTCTGAGCTTATGTTTCTCGGCTGCCCACATCCACAATTTGTGGTTCTTATCCAGGCCCATACCCTCCTAGTGTAGGTCATGCATGCCCCTACCTCGTCCTCACCCAAGGGAGCCAGCAGACCAGAGGTGTAAAGGAGTCAGCATTGTAATTCTTTTGTGGCACCGACAAGCCACATGATCCTGAGGACTGTTACTCCTGGCTGCCGTGGGACATGACAGCTTTTGGGAGTCTCAAACAATCCCATGGGTTGAAAGCATTTCATACCTCTTGGAGATGTTTTGAATATTTTGTATTTGGAAACAATGAACCATATTTATTATATGGCAGAGAATAAGTTGAAGGTGTGATGTTTTGATGTGACCTGTTTGTTTCCTTTAAGAAAAGACTCCACATTGTGGATTTTTTTTTTTTTTAAACCACTCTTTTTTGGCTGTTCTGTGACAACAACCTCTACTGTGGTCTTTGCCCGTGATAGTGAATTTATTGTTGTGTCTTCAGTGTCTTGAGTTACTTTTCTTTTTTTTTTTTAAAGATGTATTTATTTATTTGACAGAGAGAGACACAGGGAGAGAGGGAACACAAGCAGGGGGAGCGGGAGAGAGAGAAGCAGGCTTCCTGCCGAGCAGGGAGCCCGATGCAGGCCTCGATCCCAGGACCCTGGTATCATGACCTGAGCCTAAGGCAAGTACTTAACGACTGAGCCACCCAGGCACCCCTTGAGTTACTTTTCTGTGGCTACTTATATTTTCACTAATCATTCAAGTGTTTAAACAGAGAATGGGTGGTCTGCTTAGATCTAAGGGATCTTGTGGGAGGAAGTGAGGGAAGGGGACGGACATCGGCTGAGTGCCCACTCTGCGCCATGGAGTTTGCATGTATTTTATAATTTTAACTCCCCTTTACAAGTGAGAAGCTTCCAATCAACAGAGGCTTGAACCGTTTCTCTCACATCACAAGTTAAGGGTGGTTTTGATCGCAGCTCTGGCTATCCTAATGGCTCAGCAGCCTGGTCTTCCAATCCTGCATGCCTTATTTGTGGGAAAGGTCACTGAACTCAGTGTCAGGCGCTGTGCATGCAAGCTTCTCCCTCCATCACGAACAACCATGAACAAGTTACTTAAGGCTTTCAACTTCAGTTTCTTCATCTGCCATGGGAGGGGACAAAACCGGCTTTACTGACCCTTTGAGGTTTTGTGAGAAACCTGTTACTGACTTTCAGTATGACTTTACAGGTTTGGAAAGGAAGATTGAGATATTTTTAATTCAAGCAAAAAATAAACTTAAAAAACCCAAACCATTAAATGAGATGAACTTGGATGGATTTTGTGGTATTTCACTTCTTGACACGCTCTGCAGACTTTCCAAAATAATGTTTGTCAATTTTGCAGGCCCCAAACACCACAGTGTGCCAAACTGCATCACTGACTTTAATATCTCAATGTAGCAGAGAGAGTCCTGGCAACCTGTCAAGTACTTATTTTCTCTCACCAGCAGCAATCAGTAGTTTCTGTACCACATCAA